TGTATATTTTGTTAGAAAAAATTAAGAAATTGTGTTTCAAGAGACAGCTTTCTTTACTGAGTAGCTTGTATAATAGCCCCTCTACAGTCTGATAGACTCCCTGGGGCTGCAAGCCATTCACTCTATAGGGGAGTGTTAAGAACGACGTGTGTGAATGAGTCGTTAAAATCTTTGCTTGATCCACCAGATGGTTTTAGACATGATTTTAGCTTGATTTAAAGCATGTCCAACAGGGGACCTAAAAAATGTCCCCTGTTCACTTTTTAGTCCCCTGTTAGTGGGTGTGTAACGACGTCGAGGTCCACTGTTAGATAGGTTGGTAAGTGCACACACACACACACACACACACACACACACACACACACACACACACACACACCATCCTAATAATTGCCCTCTTGGTAGTGTTTAGCTCTAAGTCACTTTACTCCATTTACTCACACTCTTCAAAGTGACACTAATACCGACACTTAGGTTGCACACTTGACAGTATATCAAATATCAAGCAGATAGAGATGAGTATCTGTTTGACACGTTGGAGGTCAAACTTCTCTTTGTCTCTGGATTTTGTGTTCAAGAACACAAACACTTGCAGGATCAACTAACAAGCTTTAAAGCAAAGAGTGCTTTAACTTTATGAAGACACAGCACCCACACACACACTGAGAAAGAATTAGATAAGTAAAAGAGAATAAGACAAAGGGCTACTAAATGAAAGAATGAGAGAGTTAAGGTGACCTTCAATGTGTGAACAACACCTTTGGGGTCTGACCGAAAACTTCTCAGCGTGTCAGCAACTCTTCCAAGGCATCCCTCAGGACGTTTGACTACACGTTTCCAAACAGACTGCAGAACCTTGCGAGGAAACTCAAAAGGGATGGCACATTTGTGTCAATCAATCATGCACCATAAAGGGAGAAGGGTGTTGTTAGGTGTTATGCAAGCCATTGAGCACTGCATATTGAACTTTAAATCAAATGAGCTTGTTTTGTTCAGTCACTTCTCCCAGCCTAATTGTTGTAGTTCTACTGGGGCATGAACTTGACTTGACTTCCATTCAGTTTAAGGACAGAATTAGGGGTTGAGTTCAATTTCATGTGTCCCGTGCTGGACGTTACTATAACTGTAGCATGGGGCTGTACAATCCACATGGCAGGAGATTGGGATCAATGTAGCAGCATAAACCAAGCAAAAGTGATTACACTGTGACACCATGTCAACTATCTGGGGGTGCCAAAAGGAGCTTACAATGGCAATGCCAACTTCAGGTCGGATGTGCCCAAAAGGGGATGTAATTCACAGCTGCAGATGCCAATAATCACCTCAGCCTGATAAGGCCAGTGTTGTGAGGAAGAAGTGGCTGGAGAAAACAGTGTTTTATAGAGCAGGCCTTGCACTCTGTTTAAGTTTTGCTGATTATAATTATAGTGAAAACAGTGAAACTGTAGTGTGCTTGTGTCTGATTGGTGGAATTCTTCACACCGTTTCATCCACTTTACTTTAGTCAACCTCAACTCATTAATTTACTCTCACTTGTCTTTCTTAGTATACACAGAAGGCAGTTCTGCAGCCAGTCAATGGCATGGGAATGCAGAATTAAGCAACTTTCATTGTGCCACTATTTGGCAATAGTGAGCTGAATAGAGCTGATCAAGCTCTTGCAAACAGTGTGCATGTAGTACATTTTTCTTTTGGACATACATGTTCTCATTCTTTTTAACTGTCATTTGTCTTCCTCTCTCCCAATTTTCCTACTCACTACCAAATATACATTTAGGTAACATCCACCCCCTCCTCTCCCTCCCTCCATCTGACATTGACTGTAGACAGTCCTTTATGTAACTATGGATTTCTACAAGTCTATTAACACTTCAATCTTGCACTGTGCAAAATATCCTGATTCAATATATTGATGGCAGGAGACCACTGAGGTCAACATATATTGGAAATGTTATAAAGGATTTCTATCTCCAGAGAGTCTAACTACATTAGCACTTCATAAATTATTTATAAATTTTTCATCATCAGAACATACTGGGGTGCGTTTCCCCTACAACCACGGAAGGTAGCATTGAGCTATGTTGGTATGATGCACCGTTAAACTAACAAACATCTGAAGTACGACCGTTTCCCAAAACTGTACCTTGTTGTTACCACCGTGGTTTGAACTAACTTAGTTTGAACCAACATAGTTCGAACTAACATGTTTGCAGGTGTGTTTGTCTGACTTTCAAAGCACAAAACTCACTAAACGTTGTCATATTCTGTCTAAATATGTCAGTTGTGACCGATATTAAGTAACATTATTATGCTAACTTATTATTTAGGCTTTTCATATTATAGTCGTACCTGCAATAACAAGAAAATCAACAATAGTATTAATGAAATCAACAATATAATTAATATACAGTGGGTACGGAAAGTATTCAGACCCCTTTAAATTTTTCACTCTTTGTTTCATTGCAGCCATTTTCCAAAAATCTAAAAAGTTCATTTTATTTCTCAGTAATGTACACTCAGCACCCCATCTTGACAGAAAAAAACAGAAATGTAGAAATGTTTGCAAATTTATTAAAAAAGAAAAACTGAAATATCACATGGTCATAAGTATTCAGACCCTTTGCCGTGACACTCATATTTAACTCAGGTGCTGTCTATTTCTTCTGATCATCCTTGAGATGGTTCTACACCTTCATTTGAGTCCAGTTGTGTTTGATTATACTGATTGGACTTGATTAGGAAAGCCACACACCTGTCTATATAAGACCTTACAGCTCACAATGCATGTCAGAGCAAATGAGAATCATGAGGTCAAAGGAACTGCCTGAAGAGCTCAGAGACAGAATTGTGGCAAGGCACAGATCTGGCCAAGGTTACAAAAAAATTTCTGCTGCACTTAAGGTTCCTAAGAGCACAGTGGCCTCCATAATCCTCAAATGGAAGACGTTTGGGACGACCAGAACCCTTCCTAGAGCTGGCCGTCCGGCCAAACTGAGCTATCGGGGGAGAAGAGCCTTGGTGAGAGAGGTAAAGAAGAACCCAAAGGTCACTGTGGCTGAGCTCCAGAGATGCAGTCGGGAGATGGGAGAAAGTTGTAGTAAGTCAACCATCACTGCAGCAATCCACCAGTCGGGGCTTTATGGCCCGACGGAAGCCTCTCCTCAGTGCAAGACACATGAAAGCCCGCATGGAGTTTGCTAAAAAACACCTGAAGGACTCCAAGATGGTGATAAATAAGATCCTCTGGTCTGATGAGACCAAGATGGAACTTTTTGGCCTTAATTCTAAGCGGTATGTGTGGAGAAAACCAGGCACTGCTCATCACCTGTCCAATACAGTCTCAACAGTGAAGCATGGTGGTGGCAGCATCATGCTGTGGGGGTGTTTTTCAGCTGCAGGGACAGGACGACTGGTTGCAATCGAGGGAAAGATGAATGCGGCCAAGTACAGGGATATCCTGGACGAAAACCTTTTCCAGAGTGCTCTGGACCTCAGACTGGGCCGAAGGTTTACCTTCCAACAAGACAATGACCCTAAGCACACCGCTAAAATAACGGAGTGGCTTCACAACAACTCCGTGGCTGTTCTTGAATGGCCCAGCCAGAGCCCTGACTTAAACCCAATTGAGCATCTCTGGAGAGACCTGAAAATGGCTGTCCACCAACGTTTACCATCCAACCTGACAGAACTGGAGAGGATCTGCAAGGAGGAATGGCAAAGGATACCCAAATCCAGATGTGAAAAACTTGTTGCATCTTTCCCAAAACGACTCATGGCTGTATTAGATCAAAAGGGTGCTTCTACTAAATACTGAGCAAAGGGTCTGAATACTTATGACCATGGGATATTTCAGTTTTTCTTTTTTAATAAATTTGCAAAAAATTCTACATTTCTGTTTTTTTTCTGTCAAGATTGGGTGCTGAGTGTACATTACTGAGAAATAAAATGAACTTTTTGATTTTTGGAAAATGGCTGCAATGAAACAAAGAGTGAAAAATTTAAAGGGGTCTGAATACTTTCCGTACCCACTGTATAACCTAATCATTTTATTTAGCCTAAATATAGGCTATAACTTAAAGGAAAAAATTAAGAATTATTAGCGATTACAAGACATTTAGTAAAATAGTTTTAATCCGCAAGTATCTTCGATAAGTGGCTGAGCTTATGATTATCCTCTATAGAGACAGACACAGGTTTGAATCTCATGAGTTCTCTATTTATCTTTGTTATAATGGCAACGGAAGCTCTCAGGGATTTATTCATTACAGTACTTTCATGAATTTTATGCTGTCCCATCTTCCTCAGAGGCCTAGAAATGTATACACGAAGGTAATATTAAAAGTTATGTCTTCACATTCTCCGTTTTGTCCTTTAACCTTTGTACTGGGTGACTAATATTAAATGAAGTTATTGTGAACAGATGGGTAATCTGTGAGAAAGACACCTGCTGTTTGTAGATGGTCTACACTAAGATACTTAGTGAATCAATGTAACCCTACCCATGACCCGACAAATACATTTAAAAGTACTTTTACAACTACATTTAAAAAAGAACTTCACCATAAATATGTTTGTACAGCAGGATTATCTAACATTCCCTGCTTACACACATTACATCCACCTCCTAAGACTGTATTTTCTGCTATCAGTGACGTAGTCACCATGAGCTGAGCTTCTAACCACAGGTCAGGAGCTGTAGTTCGAACATGCAACTTGACGACAATTGGTACGAACGTTCGTCAGAACTATGGTTTCGAGGGACCATCTGCGTCGCTTAACGATGGTTCGTACCATATAAATTACCAACTTAGTTACCTCCATAGTTCGAACAACGGTTTTGGGAAACAGTTGCGTCGCAACTGCATAGTTCCAACCAAGGAAGTTACTACCGTTGTTAGCAACAATGCTTTTGGGAAATGCACCCATGTACAGTAGATGGGTCAGCTGGTAGGGGTGTAGAATACTGATATAATAATAAATGTAGGAATGAAGTTACTTACAATGATGAGTAAAATGAAGTAGATGAAGTTGTAGAAGGAATGGGCATCCATTACATAATACATGATCTCCACCCAGCCTTCCAGAGTGATGACCTAGGAGAAAAAGTTATACTGAGCATAAAGAAATAAACACTTATATCAATACACAATACCAACTAATATCCTGACTCAGCAGAATATAATTGCAAAAAATATTACTTTTACCAATTTACCTACTACAGTGTAGTTCATGTTTAAAACCAGTGAATTTTTCTGAAGTCGATCTTGATGACTTAACATTGCTAACCCTCAAATAAAAGAGTGAAAAATGTTGAATTGCTGCTTAAGTGAATCCATAAATCAAATTAAATTCATTCTTTTGAGAAGAATGATTGGATTTGAATAGTCAATAATCAGCCAAGAAAGACTCTTGAGTTCAAAAGCAATTATTTCATCAAAATAGCATTGGCCTTTTAAACATGTGATGTTGTTGAAATCAGCAATCTTTTAATAATAACTTTTTTTTTTATATTAAAATATCAGCAACATCACAGTCCGACCTCACCTTAACCTCACTAGCCGTCAAACTCATACCTGAAAAATTACAATCCAGGCGTAGACAATGTTGTCAAAGTTGATGGCACCTTTGTGGGGGTTACTGTTTCCTGTGTGGCATCGAGTGTAATACTGGTTCCAGTTGATGCACAAACCAATTGCTTCTCCTGCACCACTACTGTTGGCCAGTGGCTCAGGACTCAGGCCCAGAGACTGTCTGTGGAGCGCGTCCTCCCTGTCTAGACAGCATGTGCGTCCTCCTTCGCGCCTCGCCGGCACATCAGAACATGACATGATGCCATTATCAGATGGCAGGGAGCAGATGAAGGGGCGTTCATCGTCCTCCTCTGGCTGGTAGTACGGGGCAGGAGGGGTCATACCTGAAGAGCTGGGGTGAGGACAAGGTGAGAAACTAAGTTAGTTGGTTATGGAATAGAATATATACATACAAACGTACTACTTCATTTGGGTAGTTTCATGAGGATTTCAATGAAAGACTTAAGAGGGAGGAAGAGGAAAGAATGGGAAATGATGTTCAATAGCACAGTCAATGAAGTAAATACTCGGAAGTACTCAACCAAGCCTTTGGGATAAATGCATCATTGAAGGCAAGCGGATGCATAAAGAAATGCAAGAGGGAGAAAGGAAGAGAGAGAGTATAATAATGTATACTCCATAACCGTATCCAGTCTACATACATACACATGTGCATGCAAACAAACTTTTTTTCTCCACACCTTGTTTTCATTCTTTTAGATGTCCCTTTCTAACAATTTTTTCACACGCACACACACACACACACACACACTAGAAAGAAGGAGATCCAGAAGTTGTTGACCTTACTAGGCTAACAAATGGATCAGTATGGAGTTGTAAGTGATATATACAGTATGAGTGTGTGTGTGTGAGAGAAAAACCTGACCAAGCAGTGAACCGGCAAACACCGCCTAAAGCTAGTGCAGCAAACCAAAGGCGTGCTGACAGGTGTGGTAAACAAGGGTGGGGTCATGTGTGAGTGGCTTGAGGAGATATCAGGCAGCACCTAAGACGTCACATTCAATTGCAGATAGTTCTTTATTTATCATTTTGGACGAGACAAGCAGGTGTTAAATTGCCACTCTGAATGGGCAACCTTAAGTCTGACTGCAAAGTCTATTGTTCTGAGTTTGTAAACTATTCTATTATTATTTTATTTTCTTTTGTGTGTTTTGTTTTCTCTTGGTTGGAAGGGTTGAAACCAATACATGTATTGTGTAAAAGGAGCCCCGCTGACAACATCCACACATTGTGTGATTTATTTTGCACCATTTACCATGTATTTGAACCATTGCCTTCAATGTTCTCTCTGAACTACTCCAACAAGGCATGAAGAACTGCTTTTGTAGCCATTCTAGAAAATACTACCAGTGCTTCACAATAGGATGCAATGCTCCAATACTGTAAATAAATAAAAAATTTACTTGCGGATAAATAATTGGTCTGGTCTGCAGCAGAAATACCAAATGAGTTCTGCCATTTGAAACAGCTACAGCTCTGCGCTGCTGCCCTGATTACCTCACTGAACCCATGGACCTCATTTGGCTAGGACTGTGATAGGTGGTGATAATCATACATCAATTTCTGAGATGCACTGCACTCAGAAGTATGTATTTTAATAAGTGCCAAGAGATCTCCAGAGGGGCACTCTGAAATTAACAAGTCCACATATCTTCTAATGAAAACAATATATTGTAATCCAATCCCTGTGCTCTTATTCTGAGACAAACTAGGAGGTTCTCTCGTAATGTATCTGGATTTTTGAGGGACGTCCTGATACCGAAACAGCTGCGTAATTTGTAGGCAAAGCGATATGAAAATAGTATTTACTAATCTAACTAACCAACTGACAAGCACACAATTGGAGATGAGTATGTTGTATCACCAGACAACAGACTGTTTAATCATGTAAACTAAATCATGTGAAAAGTGTATGTGAGATTGTGCTTGTATGTGCCCTAGCGTGAAATCAGCAGAAAAACAGATTACACTCTCACGCAGTGACACCTATTGCACACATACACATCAATGAGCTCATTTGCTCCCTGTTAAATGCCTGGCGTGAGTGATGACACACGCGTCTCGAAATTCAGAATCTAAGTGATTTCCACCGTCTAACCATCTAAAGCACTTTGTCATTTCCTGAGTTGTCTCCCATACCACTCAGTCTTAATGGAAGCATGTCAAAGAGTCTGTCTTTCAATTCATCTCCACCTGGAAGTGTGGATTGATTTAAAGGGAACGTTGGCTGCCATTGGTGTAGTTGTGTGCTGGTGAGGCTGCAAGTTACCTTACAAATACCAAAAGACAGAAGAAGAAAAGACTAAAGCATTCTAAGCCGTCCTCCCTTCAAAACCTGTTAATTTAAAAGTTCAGTCTGTAAATTGTAGTGGCATCTAGTCGTGAGGGTTGCAAATTGCAACCAACGGCTCAGTCATCGCTCACCCCTCCTTTTCCAAGTGCGTAGAAGAAACTACGATTCTAAATAATGTAAAATACGTGAGGTTGTCCATTTGTCCAAATTTCACTTTTCTTCTTACTTCTATTAAACCAGACGACTACTACTACTTCTTCTTTTCCCTTCTTCATACATATTCACCATAGTGTGTAGAGCAGTTACTGTAAAAACAACCTCCACATAAGGGGGCCTGAGGTGTATGTAGATGGAAATTACTCATTCTAAGGTAATAAAAACATAACGTTTCATTATGTAAGGTCTTTCTACACCACTGAAAACATAGTTATATATTGCATTTTTGTCAGCAGATCCTAAATATTACACACTGGACCTTTAAAGCAATAGATTGTAAATGCAAAGGAAATAATGCAAATGGCAGGCAATAGAAAACTGCTGCTGAAATTAATTGAAGCAAAAAAGTACTAAGGAGAACACAAATGAGAACAATGGGAGCCAGTCAGAAAGGCCTAGGTGTATGTGTGTGTGTGTGTGTGTGTGTGTGTGTGATCTGACATGACTATGGCGTAAATGAGGGCAGGGTGTGGATACCAAGGTCTGGGCCTGGGAAAGACAAAAATAGACCCTCTACATCAGCTGCCCCCCTGCTCCCCCCTCATACCTCAACACACACATTCAGGGTCAGTGTTTACTCACTGCACTTCAGCCCTCCTTTTGCTGTCTTGCTATAGGTCTTTGTGAGGGACCAGGCAGTTAGGCATGAGGAGTCAAGAGGGAAATTTAAAGCAAAAGGGTTTTATTTACCAAAAAAATCATTACAACAAAAGATAAAGTTTCGGGCCCATAAAAGAGGTCAAGTAAACAAACTAAAGCTCTGAACATAAGAGACTCAAAAATACAACTGACCTACTATACAACAAACAAAGGGGGACTTATATATTGGCTGATCAGACCAGTTTTGACACACAGGGGAAGACTAACAACAACATCAACACTACATCATAACTGCAAACCCAACAAAACTTATGTAAAAACTTATTCCAAAAGAGATGTACATTTACTTAACCTTAACTCAAAAATACTCAAATATAATATAAATCTAAACCCCAAAATATTTAAGGAGAGAATAAATCCACCCCCCAGACATAGCAAGCAGTGGTAGTGTCCAATTAGGCCACCTCTCCTATAAAGCTGCTCCTGCTCCGAGCACCAACCCTTTAAGCCAGCAGACTTCCTGGATCTCTCCTGGGTGTGGCATCCAACGCTGGTAAGCTCAGAAACAAGAATTATAACAAAATGAAAATCCAAAAGTAACTAATGGTGTGTGTTCCAAAAGATGCTTCTGTATAGTCAACTAAAATAAAGTATGTGAAATAAACTAAGTGTCCTGTAAGTTTATTTGTAACCAAATAAATATTTACAACAAAATGTCTAATGTGTATGAATGTATATAAACCAATCTTAAAGAACACAACAAACTCAGTGCATGAGGTTACCGCTCTTCATCTGGTTGTGAGGCCACGGCTGTGGCCATCAGTCTTTTCCTCACATTTTATCCCCATTTCTGTTTACATACTAGTCTCTTTCATTTTCATTTTTTTTCCTACATGGGGAGGGGTATCAGGAAAAAGTTTGCTGAAGGCAAATGTAATGCAAACATCTGCGCAACCACAATTGCTTCACCTTATTGCTTAACCTGACATTCTCACCTCAAGCATATATGCATAGAGTTCATCCATGCCTTCCAGTGCATTTAACACCAGAACTCTTTTACTCCCTCCCGTAACCCTGTATGCAGGATAAGCGGTTGACGATGAATGGATGGACTCTTTTACTCCCTCTTCAAGCTCTTTTTATAGTTTGTCCTCTTTGTTTCTCTCCTCCTTTCCCTTTCTTTATTTTTTATCCCTTTTGCCTTCCTCTATTTCTTCTTCATTCTTCTCTCTTTTAGATTACAGCTACTCCCCACAGCTCTCTCATTTCCACTCATCTCCCCCTTTCCTTTTCTCTCTCCAATTCTCTTGATCCTTCCCTGTCTCCTCCCGTCAATAGCAGGATAGATACTGCTGACATTCCTAGAAGGACAATTTCCCATTTTACCTCAACCACAAACCACACACATGTACACACAACACACATGCCAGCTCACCAATTCCAGGATCGATAGGAACAGTGGCCATATCAGGCTATACCACTTCCCACGGAAAGCAGCTTAGATGACTGAGAATCTTCACAGACATAGCTTAGAAACAATGCCTTGATTTGGTGGCACAACAAAGTTTCCAAATATGTACTGAGACACACTGGGCTTACAGAAATTGACAGCACAGTAGAGTTTGTGCAGTACAATGGAAGACACGAAGGACAGAGAGCAGAGATTAACTTAAAAGAAATACTGTTGAGAAAGGTTTTTAGTGGCATTCAAATTGGCGCTTTACTAATGGTGCTAAAGTGGAGGAAGGGATGAAAAAGAAAGCCGCTGTCAGAGTAGTGGAGCATGAATGAAGACTGTTGGCCCCCTGCCGGTGACTTGACATTGCACAGCATGGCACAGCAAAACCTGGCATCACACTGAGAACACACCTGCCAATGGAGAGCATGATGGATGAAGGATCGGGGCAACACAGTAGCAGAGAAAAGAGGCAGCTTCCACCACATAAAAATACATATAGTTTGGGAGACTAAGAAGGAGAAACAGAGACCTACAAGCTTGATCTTTTTTGGAAGTACATAAAAATGTCTACTGAAGTGCAGAGGCAAGAATATGGTGGAATACGGCACAAAAAGAGAAAGGTAGAGATCAAAAGAGGGAAGGTGTAAACTGCCAGTGAATGCTACACTTGACTGCGACACTTAGCCCACTCTATTATAACCACTCAGGGAGCAAACGTTAGCCCTTTACTTAGCATAATAGTCCTCAAGCGCTAACT